TGACCTGTTATAAAAAAAATTGTGATCAGCGTACAAGGAGCGACTAATGAAGTTAATTTCAAGATGAGGTTTATATCAAAATGTTCAAAATAGTCTATTATATATATATATATATATATGCCGAAGTAAACACACCATCACCTGGTTGCATTGAATATTATATAAATAATTTATTTATGAACTGGATTGATAATATGCCGCCTGTATGCAATACACAGATTTGAGAATGGAATTTGGCGGAACATATTAACACAGCAGAGCGAGGCTGTAGCTGCTGCACGTCGTAACATTTTACGGCAAGCCGTATTCCAGTCCGTCCACTGAGCTTACACGTGAATGCAGGACAGTAGTAAATTAAAGGGGAGATTCAGGAAGCGGGAGTGAAGTTTAACCTTGTTTCAGCGCAACGGGGCTCCGATCCGGCAGCATGCTGTATCTGATCGGCCTGGGGTTGGGAGACGCCACGGACATCACGGTCAAAGGTCTACAGGCGGTGAAGAGCTGCTCCAGAGTTTACCTGGAGGCTTACACCTCCATCCTGACCGTGGGGAAGGAGGCTCTGGTGAGTCCACAGCTACATGTAAAATGTGTACAGTAAAAATACGAGGCCGTGTTTCTTAAACAGATGACAGGTGTGTTTGTGCACAGGTGTCTGCTCCTGACTGAAGCTGGTCTGTGCTAAAGCTAATTAACTGCTACATGAGCTAACACTCGGAGAATGTATTAAAACACTAAAAATCGTTACAGCACAGGCAACACGGAGCTTCTATACCCTACATTAATAGAGAAGCCCTCAGAACTATATGAAGACACGTGTAAATGTGTAGTGAACGAAAAGTGCGTCGTGTGTCCGATTCCTCATAGCGTCCACTGCGCTGCTTGTCGACAGCTGTGCCCATGCAGCTTCCTGAGGAGCCCCCCTGGATGGTGTAGCCGGTGCCTTCTGGTTTCTTCCTGTGTTTGGCCACCAGCTGTGTTGGTCTACACCACAGGGTCCTAATCCAGAATGGCTCCACTGAGTGAGGACAGCCCACAGGCCATTGACACTTTAAGACCTGAAGGTCAGTCGGTTCCATCTAGTCACACAAACCGCCAAACGCTCCGATGAAGCTGGCTCTCATGAGGACCCCCAGCTCAGCTGCTCAGGTGAGACTGTGTGGATCAGGCTTCACAGCCACTGCAGGGCTGCCTCGACAGAGGAAGAGGAGAAACACAAGGACTGGACCAAAGCAAATCCGGGCTTTGGCCCAGTCAGTCCAGATTAGAGGTTTTGTCTCCGACCACGGTGGCTCTGTGAGACCAGAGAAGGTGAAGCCCAGAGGTGGAGCCGTGATGGTGGGGGGAGCCTTGTGCTGACACTGGATACGTACTCACAGCTACACAACATCCTACAGAGACGCGCCGTCCCATCTGGCCTGAGCTCAGCGGGACTGACAGCACTTTTCCAGCAGGACAACGAGCCCGAGCCTCCAGACTCTGTGAGGACGGTGACGGAGCCTATGTCAGGTGACCCGGCACCCACTGCCACCGGCCTAAACCCAGCTGACATGTCTGGGAGGAGCTGGACCCCAGAGTGAAGTAGAAGCAGCCAGCAGGTGGTGAGCAGTGGGAACTCCTCCTGCACTGTTGGAGAAGCAGCAGGTGACCCCTCAGGAAGCAGCTGGACACAGCTCCAGCTCTACAGTCCAAACTTTAAAACGCAGTTTGCTTTAACATTTTGTTCACTACAGAATCAATGTGTGAGGGAGTAAACCAGGGATAGATGCTTCAACAGTGTATATGTCCTAGGAGGAGTACTACGGGAAGCAGCTGATCCTGGCAGACAGAGACCTGGTGGAACAGGGGGCGGACGAGATCCTGAAGGATGCAGATATGACAGATGTGGCGTTCCTGGTGGTGGGCGACCCGTTCGGGTGAGTCCTGATGTCCCTGTGTCAGGAAAGTGATCTGTTTTTCAGTCCATGTAGCAGCAGCTGTACTGATCCCCAGATGTGAGGGCTGGACAGCTGTTTGATGTTGACAAGCTCCAGCTGCTGGTTTGTGCCACTGAAGACTAAACCTGGTGCTCGGTGTTTTCGCGACATCTGACACGTTGGTGTCTGAACAGTACAGTCACATCCAGGTTAAAGGTTTTCTGCTCTTTATCATGTGATGTTTGTATCATAATTATGGTTAACTGCAGCCTGACTTTTGATTTGGCTGTTTTTCTTTGTTTTTGTTTTATTGCATTTGTGTTTTACAGGTTTGTTCAGTCTTGCCCGTTTGTTAATTTGGCTGTACGTCACTTTGAGCCTGTACAGAAGCAGCTATGCAGATCAATACCAATTGGTTCATCAATTAAAGTGTTTAAATACAGTTTTAAAGACCAATTTATGGCTAAATATTAGATTATATGTTGGAATCATCAAGAAACATGAAAGCTGTAATTTGTCCTTTCATTTTTTATTCATGTTTACTTGAAATCTCTTACACATGCTATATATTGTTGTTCTGTTGTGCAGAGCCACCACCCACAGTGACCTGGTCCTGAGAGCAGTGAATGCTGGGATACCGTACAAGGTTATCCATAACGCCTCCATCATGAACGCTGTGGGCTGCTGTGGTCTGCAGGTACACCACGCAACATGTCACTGTGAGCTGAGTCTCACAGGCAGCTGTACCCTCCCAGATACTGACACCGAGTTACTAATCAGAACCACACATTACAAAGTGCTTTACAACATATAATGTACAGTGTGTATGTTTTAGATAAAGATGAGCTGACTGCCCTGGAGGGTGTAGCAGTGTCTGGGTTTAGTTTTGGAGTTCCTGTCTGTTGATAGTGTTGGGCAGGTAAATGAGGCTGAATAAAAAACAAACAAACAAACAAAAAAACCTGAGCCAGCAGCTGCGATGTGCACCTAAGAGTCACAGCTCAGCTCAGGGCTAACCCCCCCCGGGTGTATCTTCAGGTCCATCTGCTGCAGCTTCTGGTCAGACTCATTAAACTGATGTTGTTGTTGTAACAGCAAATTCACTGCGTTAATCTGACCTCATCAATAACTGACCTGTCAGAACAACCAATCACAGTGCGGGACCCAGCTGTCCACACACAGATTAGCATTTATGCTAACAGAGCAGCTCCTCTGGGAGGTTGTTAATATGTTAATAAGGGGCAGGCTATGCAAATGAGCAGTGTTCCCTCTGCTGGAAGTCAGTCCCATCAGCCTCTGCGGTCTGTGAGACTGTTACATTATATGAAAGACCTGCCCACTCACCACATGACCCCTCCCATCAGGCCCAACCCGTCAGGCAAGAGCAGGGCACAGAGACCCAGCTGCTGCATGACTAATATAAACACACGTTAAAATTTTAATTACGCTCGGTTTGACCTGTACCAGGTTCCTAGCTCTGAGTTCTGATGTTAGTTTCACTTGTCAGGTAAAAATAACCCCATTCACATTTATGTTGGCTACCCATAAAAAGAACCCAATAACCAGAAGTGAAACCAAACAGTTCAGAACTGATTCTTTGTTTAGAAAGAAATGTAATTTACAGATAAATATTAAATGGCAGAAATGAAATATTTCACAGTAATCTATCAAAATATACGTTAGAAAAACTGAATCATTATTTCATCTTTTACTTCCAGCGAGGGACTGGAGATTCAAGATGTAAGTACAAACACAGTGATACGATCGTAATACTTCATGTACTGTGACTCGTCTTCTTCAGTGCTTTACTGTTTAGCTCCATGTGGCGAGTAGCACAGGGAGGGGAAGAGTCACTGTAATGAAGACTAAATAAAGCCTTCTGTTAACATTCAAACACTGAGCAGATTCACTGAGGGTTTGTTCCCCGGACTCTGATCTGAAGCCTGTGCCCGGCCGGGTTCGGGTTTAGAAATTATGTTTGGGTCGGGTTGGGACGTCGGTCAAACTTGAGGCTAGACGGCTGCGTCGTTTAATGATGACCTGATTTAGTTCAGCACTGGGTCTACATGTAAATTCTCACCCGTCTGATGAATGTTGATGGAAACAGTGTACAGGCTGGTGGGTCAGCTGACCTGAGGCCTGCTGCTGTTTTTGGAGATAAGAGGTTTAAACAGGAAGTGTTGCCGTGACGATCTGTTTCCTCTGTGCAAACAGCTGACATCTGACCTCTGTCTGTGTGTCAGCTGTATAACTTTGGGGAGACAGTGTCGCTGGTGTTTTGGACGGAGACGTGGAGGCCGGAGAGTTTCTATGACAAAATCTGCAAAAACAGAGCGGCTGGACTGCACACGCTTTGTCTGCTGGGTGAGATCCAATCACACGCTTGTCTTTCTGTAGTCACAGGGCACAGGCACACTCCACCAGGTGGAGGGGCGCCAGCGAGGATCACACATTATTCAGATCATTTTCAGGCTGAGGTCCAGTGCACCCTTTGCATTATTATTAAACATGGACACATTTGGCAACATTGAAATCTGTAGTCTACTGGGTAGAGAAACCGCATCCATTTAACTGTACAGTTAAATGGATAACTCCCACCACAGGTGCCTAAACTTGCCTTGTCAAAAGTTGCTGTGACCTGGGACTTGAAACACGGTGAATGGTTCACCAGAAGGAAATGCTGTGTCGCAGTCTGGGACGTTAGCTGAGTCCCAGCACAGTCGGTCACAGGTGAGCTAACAGATTTATGTCTCAGAACATGAATAATAGCAGCCGACCCACACAGCCCCTGGAAATGGACCTTAACAATAAAATCAAGTCATCAGTTAACTGGCTTATCATTTTAGCTTCCACAGCACAAAACAGGTCAAAGATCTAGACAATCAACACGATGTGTCCTTTCATCTAGTTCAAAGTGAGGAGACAGTCTGCTGCTGGACAGATTCAAAAACAGCAGCGTCGTTGGCTTCTAGGAAAATGTTACTTGGCTTGTTCTCAGAGCTCACTCTTATTTGTTGGTTTCTTGTTGGAAAGAAGTTCATGAGGACATGTTTTCCATTGGTACTTGTTGAACTGAAGCAGCAGTGGGGATGAAATCTAATGTGTCGTTATTCTGTTTCTACTGACAGACATCAAAGTCAAAGAGCAGAGCATCGAGAACATGATGAGGTAAGAACCAGAACCACATCCATATCTGGGTCCAGGTCCTCCTGTGGGTTCACAGAAAGCCGGTCTGATGTCATCCCAGCTATTTTCTGAGGTGAACCTCAGTGAGCATGTGCAGTGGGATGAGCTCACAGAAATCGAACCACAGAAACTTAAATCACTGTTTATCCAACCAACCCTAAGTTCAGTCTGACAGGCAGAGCCTCCTCCAGCATTGCCCCTAGACCCTACCAGGTAACAGCTTAGTGTGGCCGTTGACTGATGATTTACAGATGGTCCTTTGGAAAGTAACTTGTAGCTCATAGCACACCAGTGAAGGAAGCTGGTCGTCTTTTTTTTTTTTTTTCTACAAAGTAAACATTTTCTCTTTTTGAAGGAAAATTCATTCATTTCTTTTTAAAATGTCATGTCTGCAGGAAATATTTCAGAGCTTTGCCAAAATCCCCATGTCGTTCATTGGTTTGTCAGACATTTCATGTGAAAACTTAGTTTTGAAAATGGACTTTGTTCATGAGCAGCTTACGTTTGTCTCATTCCAGAGGGAAGAAGATCTACGAGCCTCCACGCTTCATGACGGTCGCCCAGGCTGCAGATCAGCTGATCCAGATCATCCAGAGGCGGCGGGAGGAGGGGGAGGAGCTTGGTGAGTCACACCTGGTCACCTCTCGTCTGATTGGCTCAACACGACACAAACAGAACTGAACCATGTCTCATCAGATACACATTTATAATCAATCAAAAGTGAAGTGTTAAAACTCCTTCCACCATAGTCACATGACCACAGGTGATCTGAAGCCATCTTTGAAACATATTAAAGCTCCAAACACTGCTTGAAGTTTTTTTGGCAGAGATATTCACTCATTAACGAACATGAACCCATGAACACAGTTCCCTGAAGACCTCCCTCTTTCATATCATTAATTCAGGACAAGACCCCAAAACCTACCAAACAATAACCTGCAGTTATAGGCAGATACCTTCAGATGTCACTGAGAAATTTTTAGCATTAACTATTCTTTTTAATTACTCACATTTCACTTTAAATAAAAAATCACTTTTCATTACTTTTTCTGTAGTCATTTCTCATTTTGTTCTTACACATGCAAAAATGCTAGTTTCAAACAAAATACAAATCATCTCCTTTGATTATCCTTACTAAATATAGAATGCATCAACTTTCTACTTTATGCATTCTAGCTATAGCATTTTATTTTTCTCTTCCAGCTCCTCTTGCTGTTTCTTCTTTTTCTCCTCCAAGTCTAATTTTGCTTCCCATTTGTCCACCAACACATATTCTGCATTCTTCCGTTCTTTTCTCTTTTCCAACTCCTTTTACTGTTTCCCTCTTTGTCCTCAAAATCCGATTCTACTTGCAACTCATCCACCACCACATATTCTGCAGGAGTCTGCAGGTTCCTTTGGGCTGGGTGTGATAGGGGAGTACAGGCTTTCCATCATCTCCTCTATGACCCCCTCTTCCTGCACTGGGACATTCTACATCACAGATGCAGTTCCTTCTGGTTCATGCAGCTCATTCTCATCCTCCTCTGGCTTGTCATCTCCTTGTATTCCTCTTCTTTGAATAGTGGCCATTCTAATATTTCTTGTAAACATTCTTGCTGTTCTTGTAGGACTTCTAACTGCAGAGACAATTTGTTCGATGGTCTCCTGCAGCTCCTCTTCTATGGTCATTTCTGGTACTGGACCATTAAAGGCCGACACTGCTGTAATGACCTGTTTCTCCAGGACCTGTTTTTACAGTTTATAAGACAAAATTCTTAATGTTTCATGAAAAAAAGTAAAATTAACAAATTTACAGAGAACTCGTTTTAGATTGAGTCACAATTTTCAGAAGTATTACAAAAGTTTAGTTGAGAAAACTGATCCAATATAGGTTTTGTTATATTTTGAAGATTAAGTTGAGTTTGGAAATAAGTAATGACAACAAAGATCAGGAGAGAGATTTTTATGGAGCATGTTTGGTCTGAACATGGTTTGACCTCCACCTTATGAAGAACTGACCTTTTTTTTCCCTTGTAGTTTGGTTGCAGGAGTTTTTCCTCAGATGTTTGTGAATAAGCAGCTGAAATGTTAGCACAGGAAGCTATGCCTAAGGAAGTAGCATCGAAGCAAAAACAAAACTTGAATGGCGCAGCTGAAATGTTAGCACAGGAAGCTAACTGTGCCTAAGGAAGTAGCATTGAAGCAAAAACAAAACTTGAATGGTGTCAGTCAGTAAGACCTGTTGGTAAACCTCAGTTAGCATGCTAATGTGTTGGTTAATGCTAATGAAACTTTACGTCAGCTGCTGTCATGTGACCTGTCTGCTCCGCTCCATTCGCTGGTGGTCACCGGTCAACTTCACCCACTGGAGGTGGACATGCTGCGACTGAATGCAGAACCAAATTCACTGCAACACCTCCACATGATCGACAGCTCCACGTACATGTCCTAGGACCCTCATTTACATGTTGTATTACCAGGCCCCCAACCCCCCCAGGCTGAACCTGATCCTTACCTAAACCTTAAAGGATGCAGCTGGTGATTCTGTTTGTCATTCGCCACCAACCCCATCCAGAGACCAGCAGCACCAGTGAACAGGGTGTCCTCACCGTCATGCGAGTCCAGACCCTGGTCCAGCTTGTCACTCTGTGCTGTAGACCTCCACTGTTGTCCACCAGCTATTAAACGTCCCCCCAGTGAGCCACACTGCTGCACTGGGGGGCAGGTTTCCTCCTCAGGAAACACAGGAGTAGCACCTGTTTCCAACACGTTGTGCAGCGTGAGCAGAGACCAGTGACTCCTTCCCTTCAGACACTGTACAGGGCGATGGCTGTTCTCAGCCTTTGGAGCATTCACTGGTGCCGTTAGTCTCTGGAGGGGATCTGTGAATAAGCCCTTAGAAACCAAGTCTGACCCTTCAGAGATTTGAAGTATTGTGGGTCCTTACAAAGACAGTAATCCTGGCACACAGCGAACAGGATACAAGACACCGGCTTATCAACAGAATATGATAAAAACATGAACCAGATGTGAAATGTGGTAAAAACTAGTTAGATCCAGTTAAAATGTACAGATTTTAATGTGGTTCCACATGGTTGTAATTTTAAATTAAAAACATTTTCTTTTAGAGCCATGTGACAAGTTAAGGATCAGTTCACGTAAATTAAAGTAAAATTTTAAAAAACAAAATCAAGCATTTGTTAGCAGCAAACAGTTCAACCGAAGGATGACGGAAACTCAAACAGGACATATTGGAGCACACATATTTAGAGACTGTCCATTTTCTTCAGCTTATCTAAGGTCGGGTCACAGGCTCACTAAGGCAGTCCAGGTGTCCCTCTCCTCAGCAACATGTTCTAGCTCCTCTGGCAGGATTGTGAGGCATTCCCAAGCCAGACAAGATATATAATCTCTCCAGCGTGTTCTAGGTCTGCCCTGGGGTCTCGTACCAGATGGACATGTCTGGAAGACCTCCAAAGGGAGGCGCCCTGATAAGATGCCCGAACCACCTGGCTCCTCTCAATGTCAAGGAGCAGTAGTTCTACTCAGAGTCCCTTCCGGATGTCCTAGCTCCATCTCTAAGGGAAGGTCCGGCTACCCTATGAAGGAAATTCATTTCGGCCACTTGTATTTGCGATCTTATCCTTTTGGTCACTACCCACAGTTCGTGACCACAGGTGAGGGTTGGAGCGTAGACTGACTAGTAAATTGAGAGCTTTGCATTTTGGCTCAGCTCCTCCTCCACCACAACAGTCTGGTACCACACTGTCCCGCCGCCCCCCCCCCGCCTGTCAGTCTCACACTCGATTTTCCCAGTGTAGCCAGTAATTTCCTCAGTGCCTCGGAGTTCTGGGCCATAGGTTTCCTTTCTCTAAAGTATCTCTGCAGACTCCTCTGTATGGTTTTGTTCACCAAGTGCCTCCTATGTGCGAACGCGAGCCTCCTGTGATGTGCACGTAAGCTGTTAGGCACTGCACACGCTGTGCTTTTGGTGTAGACACGGTGAGTTTTATGCTTCTGTCCAGTGCAGCTATGACAACCACCACCTTTTGTTACTGCAGTGTTATTAAATGGTCAGACAGGGAGATCTGAACCGGACTGGATCCACCAACTGTGTTCACATACGGACATGACGTAGGAGTTAGTATCTGCCCTGTGATGGGCCTGTAACTCTGAGTGGGTTGTCCACCTCTGTTATTCTTCTACTCATATCAAACAGTTAAGCTGATAAGCTTCATATTTTGGAACCAGGATTTGGATCAAGAAGCTCCTGTGCCAGATTCATTTCAGTATGTCAGATAGCTAAAGCTACAGTATGTAAATGAAGGTAGCACTAGTATGAAACTCCAAATCAATCCACCCTGCTCTGCTCTCCTCCACTATGACCTGCCACGCTCTGCTCAGCTCTTCATGTTTGTCCTCATGAAGTTACAATAAATGAGAAAGCAACAAAACTGACTGTTCAAGCAGAACTAGTCAAAAATCTCTGTTCAGAGAGGTCAGTCCCACTCAAAACCTTTTAGAAGCTAATATCTCTGCACTGCTGCCAGTTCGGTGAGTCTGGGTCACAGGAGGCTTCGACGGCAACTCTCCACATAAGGACAAGTTTTGGAGCAGATTTCTACAACAGATATTTGAAAAAAGTTTCATACTGTAGCTTTAAGGAACATTTAATGTAGGTAAAAGTAAGTATCAGATTTGGTAGTGGGAGGTACTTAATATTAAAGGAATTGTATCGTTATCCGGACATCCCTATTCTCAGCATTTCCAAAACTAAATATCGGCCCAACATGGCACCCACAGTGTAATATCACACTTCCTGTTCCTCCTAAAGGTTTCTGTTCACCCTGAAGAGCGTTCAGTGTGCTTGTTTTTAACATAGTAATTTAGAAAATGTCACATTAAAGGTGAAGGTAATGATGTTTCCATCAGCCTCAGGTACAGCTGTGTTTACTGCTCATTAGCTATCTTTAGCATGCCAACACGCTGAATGTCAGCATGTTGTCATGGTACAGAGCTGTTAGCATGGCTGGAGAGGAACATTTGACTGGTTGGCAGGCAATTACAGTAAAAGTCTCTGATGTTAAAACAATCTGACTTCCTAAAAGAAACTTATTCAAAGTGAAAAACCTTTAGAAAGGAAATCCAACCTGTGCACAGCTGGACATACTGATCTGTAGAAACACTGAATTCTGGGAAACAGTGATTTTATGTCATCAATAAAGTTGGAGATCAAACAGAATCATCACATAAAAAGTCATATGGTTTGGTCACATGGTTTGGCACGTTAAAAGCACAGCATGACATCACACTCACCACAGACCAATCAGCCAGCAGCGGTCTGGTCCCAGGAGTGATGTCACAAGAGAGGAAGGGCGGGCTCAGATTGTCTCTGATTCATGATGAAGGCACTTACCCACAATGCTTTGCTCTGGGGTGGGGGTGGGGTCACACTGGCCACTGACTGGTATATTAAAATAAAAACCGGTGGGGGAGGAGCTTTCAAGCTCATTGAGTCACATGTCCCAGGGTCTCTGAAACCCCTCCACCACCTGGTGGTCTCAGTCAGTCTGTGGGGTGGGGGGCAGGGTCACCTGCAGCTGCAGAGTGAATGTGATTGGACCCCAGGGGTTCAGAGGAGGAGGAGCTTCTACATGGCCACTGGGTCGATCTGAACGTACAGCTGTCGAATTCCGGCCTGTTGACAGAAGACAGAAGTCCTGCTACTGCAAACTTTACAGCAGGTAAGTACTGCTACTATAGCAACAACAGTACATTTTCAATTACATATACAAGTTTTACACGTTTCTGCTGACAACTACTACCACTACTATCTCAGTTAGTAAAACAAAAAACAGGACACACTACCACTACTACTACTACTACTACTACAAGTACATTATTGGTATAACAATTACTAGTGCTAATGCTGGATGTGTGCTGTGTGATGCTGTGGTGCGTTCAGGTACCTGTGTGAAGATGTGGTGAGTCTGGCTGAGGATCCAGCGGGTGTCGGCGTCGGGGGCCACCAGCAGCTTTAATGTTCCGATGTAAATGTCAGTACACAGAGTCCAGAAGTGGGGCTCCTGTAGGTTGTACACTCCCGGCAGCTGCTGCACCTGAACACAACACAACAAAGAAGATTTTGAGTGTGTTCAGGTGCTTCTTATGAAGCTTGAAACTACAGTGCTTCAGGTGTAGGTAGGTGTATGTGTGTGTGGTCAGTGCTCACCTTCTGATAACACTCTGGCAGGGTGTGGTCCAGTGAAGGTGGTGTTCTCTGCATCAGGATCCCAATGGACTCTCTCAGTAATGGCACCACACTGAGGGTCAGAGGTCAGAGGTCAGATGTGTGGCTCCACTGTCACTAACCACACTATAATGCGATTAGTAATACAGCCACAACTTCAACAAATGCTGCTACTACCACCACCACTATAAATATGACAGCTGCTAGTAACAAGTAACACCCACAAATGTGTACTACTACGTATTACCTCCACCAATGGCAGGGATACATGCACATCGTAGCCGTGTTTCCACTCTCGGAGCCTAATGAGCGGTACACCCCGCGCTTCCCTTAACCGTCACTCGGCATAACCTGCCAGGTGACGTCTTCACCGCTTTGCCCGCGGTCCGTTCACTAAAGTCCCTGTTTTACTCCTAAACCAGCCAGTGGATGTCTGTCATGTCTATCATTTTTCTTGAATAATGTTAAAACTAATAATGAAATCAGCATCATTCCAAATGGTTTTCATGGTGGAGCAGTCATATTATGAGGGTCACACTATCATGGGAATATTGCTTTTATGGCATTATGGGGAAATGGGGTGGCCCTTGGTGGAGGTCTGCACTCTTCCCTGCTGTCTAGTATTACTACTGCTGTCCCACCAACAACACTTCAATTACAAATGTTACTACTTAATACTTTGTGTGACCAACCAACTGCTGCTGTTTCAGAACTGAACAACAGACATGAACTGCTTCTCCAGAATCTGATTCTTTGCTGGAGTTTGGTCTGAACTCCATCCTGCAGTGCAGCTCATGTGCATATGAAGTTTCAAGAGTTTCTCATCTCAGAACTCAGATTCTTAAATCTAAATCCGTCTCCAGTCTCCTACTTGAGTTTTACTCTGATAACTCACATTTATGAGAATAATCTATTGATTTTTTAACTGGAGTTTGGTCTGCATTACATTCTCCACATTCCCTCTGGAGAATTAGCAGATCTCCAAGTGGAGTTCAGCTCCCTACGAGCAGTTACTGCAGCTGTAGAAACCTGATGCCTGTGGTTGTGTCAGGGCCTCTCAGCTGACCACAGCTCCGCTCTGCTGACGCTTTAAATCTGCAGCTGTGATCACTCAGAGCCTATCAAACCACATCAGCTCACATCTAACTCCATTTATCACTGGGACTTCTGGGAAATCTGACCACTGCATTTACATCCAGAAGACCAGAGGCCCGGGCCGGATGCAGTGGTATTGGCATATTTAAGCCTATTAAATACTAACTGCACATTCTTTACATTAGTGGAAACAATTTTCCAAAGTATCCATGAGGTTTTTGACTCATCTCCAGATGCTGGTTTCAGGTCAGTTCTGTGGAAATTAACTTACAGAGAGCTGACAGCATTTAGCTAACGTTAGTTTGTAGTTAAAGTAACATCATGCAGCTGAGACCAGAGCCTGGTAAATGCAGATATGCAGAGTAGGACACATAGCTGCAAACAATGTTTTATACATTTTCTTTTTGTGTGCACTTTTGCTTAAGCTTGATTGCTTATTTATTTATGACAAAACCTGACATGTTTTGTTTCAAGTGGTTGTAGAAGTTCGTGTTTCCACTGGAAGCTGCCTCTGAGTGTCGAGATACGATTAATTGTGCAGCCCCAGTTTTCAGTCTGCACAGAAATGAGACCAGAGTGAGTCTGGTCAGGAGAGCAGTGTAAACACTGGAGCTACGAATTAAAGCTGCAGAGTGTTCAGACTCTGTCAGAGCATTCAAAAATCAATTGTTCAGCTTCACTCCTTCCCGCCTCTCTCACACATAGATGTCTCTGTAGTTGTGAGGACCCTCATTGATATAATGCACCCCATAACCCTAACCACTGCTGCAGTGCATTGTGTATAAAAGCTTTAGATCCTACAGTCTGTCATTATCCAGAGAGAGCTGATTGGTTGACTGCTAAGGAGAGGCAGCTGGCCCGCCCCCTCCACACACACACTGCGGTCAGTCAGTGTGGTCTCAGTTGTGTGGTGGTGGCAGGTTGGGGCCACGCCCCCCTCAGTTTGGTCTGTTGTAGGCTATAATCACAGCTGTCAATCAACAGGGTGGAGACCCGAGGCCTGCACCATGAGTTCAACTTATTCTGGCTGTCTTGAGGTGATCTGGCTTCACTGAGCGTTACATTGGCCGTCCTGAATAAACGGTACCACAAAGCTGGTCATCAACTGGCTCTCTTAAGTCTGGGTTTTCCTATCAGGCCACGAGCGCATTCATGTGAAAGAGGCCGAGTTGTTAATTAGATGTGACAGCACCAGCACCATGAGTGAAGTCGGCCACTGAGAATGATATGAGACGGAACAGAGATGCAGCTGCAGTTTCTCAGACCTGATGTGTCCGCAGCAGTGTGAACACACTAGATCTGGGCCACCTGTGTATGTGCTCCTAGACCCAATTCCTCTCCAACCTCTGACTGTGTGAGCACTGTCAGAGTGGTCAGGTCAGAATCCATGTGGTCTTTTTAACATCTCCTCCTCTGCACATACAGCCTGTCGCCATCATTCGGCGTCGGCCCCTCACAGACCAGTAACAGTAAACATGGAGGAGAACGACGACAGCGACGGGGTCAGTGTAGAGACCAGGACGTTTCACATGTTGTGGGCGTTTATGGAGAAGCTTCTGATCAGGCCAAACTGGAAAGAACATACAGTATCATAACCCAGTGGTTTGGGAGGAAACTGGGCCATTTGACCATCGCACACATGACCTGTCATGACATGTTACAGTGATGAGTTCCCTTCCAGCATGAAATGACTGCAGCAGGCACGATTCATCACCTGAGATGTGCACGTTACCTGACTCCAATGAGGAGGGCGATCAGCATGGAGCAGATGGGATCCGCGATCATCAGGTCGTACTTCTGCATCAACAGAGCAGAGATGATCACCCCAATGCTGCCGAGAGTGTCAGCAATGATGTGTAGGAGGACGCCTGCAACACACACACACAGGTCTTAAATGTTCACCTGTTTGATCAGGTGCGGCAGTGACCCGAAGACAAACTGCTTCCTGCACTGTGGAGTCTCCCACATGGTCCAGCTGTACTGTTGCACACAAACTCCTCTTCACTGTCAAATGAAAACCATGTATGTACAAAATATTCGCTACGTTATGTGAACCCTCATGGTAGTGATCTTTTCAGATTAACAAACAGAAAACTTTAGTCCCAGTTTTTAAAACGCTGTATGGTGATGTGTGAGCGCCCCTCAATGGCTCAGTGAAGAAACAGCATTGATGGGAATTCAGTTTCAATTCATCTTTAGTCCAGTTTTATTCTTCTATATTATTATCTATGATTTACTTATTTTAAAGACTCTTGTCCTTTACTGCTGTGTACATTGATATGCATATATTTACACATAGCTTTGTTTATCTCTGCTGTGTAACAAAGCAACTGTTTGTCTCATCAGCAACCAAATTCATTTTGTGCTTGTATTCTGCCATTTCCTGTGTTTTATCTGATTAAAATTTCTTCCCTCTTATCTGTTTGGAAATGAAACAAAGAATCAGTTATGGTAAATCCTGAAGATTTACTAAGGATCTGAGCACATGTTCTCACACACCGATCAGCCAGAACATTCTGACCACTGACAGGTGAAGAGATTAATGCGGACCATCTCGTTACCTGTCAGTGTGTGTATATTAGGCAGCAAGTGAATATTCAGTTCTCAAAGCTGATGTGATGGAAGCAGGAAAAGTGGGCAGTGTAAGGATCTGAGTGACTTTGACAAGAGCCAAACTGTGATGGTGAGATAACTGGGTCAGAGCGTCTCCCAGACTACAGGTCTTGTTGGGTGGTCCCGGTCTGCGGTGGTCAGTACCTACCAACAGTGTCTAAGGAAGGACAGAACCGGTCATGGATGCCCACAGCTCAACGATGATGTGGTTGATTTACTGTAGACTCAACTTTTAAATATTCATCCTTCAAAAGATCAGAGTTTGTTTGAATCTTTGTTAAAATTGGTGAAACTGAGAAATACTGTACACTGGTCTGAACATTCAGTGGCTATAGTGGTGATATCACACCTGGAGTGTGGAGCCTGTTGAATGAGTCTAAAAAAAAAAAAAATCTATTTGGTCCTCATGACCACATGAAGTAGCAGATGCACAGTGAGCTGCAGAGTGACATGTGCGTTAACCCACTGTGTCAGGCAGGTGGTCATAATGTTATGGCTGATCAGTGTATCCTGTTAGTAAAATGTGTGGTAAAGAACAAGGCTGTTTGTTCTGCATGATGCATCATGTGTGACATCTCACCCTGCAGGATCTGTTTGCTGGAGGTTCTCCCCGTGTGCTGCAGCTCATCTGCAAGAGAAACAGCAGACAAGGGTCAACAGTGGTGATGACAGTGGGGAGGAAAATCTCCCTTTAATGGAAGAAACGTCCGACAGACCCCGGCTTCTGCCTCGACCAGTTGGGGTGAGTTGATGTGGAACGCAATGACTAACTTCAATCTGCGAGGGAGAATCATCATTTACATGAACAAATTGGAATCTTTCTGATAAATAAGATTTGAACCAACTTAGTGCAGTTCCTTTCACAAACATTTCCTATTGTTGGGACATTCCTTCCACGTCCCACATACAGGGGCGGGTCTAGAAAACTTTGGATGAGGTGGCCAGGCTGAGGCACAGACTCAGATGGCTGCCACATTTGAAATATACGTAAAAACTACATTAAAGCCCCAGGTATATGAAATAAGAAATCATACATTATTAAGAATCAAAAGCAAGACACATGGTGCTTTGTTTAGCTTAACTTTGGCTGCATCCCTTATTTACTTCTTATTCAAATATCATGCTGCATGCATAATTTAAAATAAAACTACTTTGACTAATCTCAGGTATAAAGAACCAGAAAAATGTTAGTTGTATTTAAGGCATCAATTTGTCATTGTTTTATTTTTCATTCATTAATACCACGGATGCAAAAGTACACCCATTCGTTACTCAAGTAAAAGTACAGATACCTGTGTAAAAATACTCTGTAAAAAAAATCTACTAAAAGTAGAAGTAGTGATTCAAACTCTTCACTTGAGTAAAAGTAAAAAGTATAGGCTCTGAAATGTACTCTATGTATAAAAGTAAAAAGTAGTCGTTCAAAGGGCATTTCTACAGCTGTTTCTGTGCAACAATATATTTCTGAGATCCCTAAACTATTTTAACTATACCAAAAATAATGAACATTAACTAAGGAGAACACATTTCAGGTCTAATTGAGCCTTAAAGGATAGAGTCCTTTCAACTGTCCCCACACAGAGACTAAAACCAATGGTGAGCTGCCTCCGCTCACTCTTAATGTCTGTCCGTCTCCAACCTGGATCAGCTGATTCGTCTGCCGTAGACCTCCGTTGTCTTTCAGAGACGATTCAACACATCTCAGTGAAACACCTCTGCACTGAGGAACTTGTTTCTTCATTACCAAACACCAGACTGGTGTGTGTGTGTGTGTTGCCACCAAAGTTTAAACAACCATAACGTTTTACAGCGTCTGAAGCATACATCTATGGTCTGAAGTAAAGCAAGACATAACCGCACATGTGCGAGATCTCCATGAAGGTGTGAGGAGCTAGCAGACTGTAAACAAGGAACATGTGACCCAGTGCAGCGGTGTGCACATGTTGCAGTAAGTGCCAAATAAAAATAATTGGTAATTCCCCTCAAATGTATAAAAACTAAAAGTAATGAGCCTGATTTGAAAATGTAAGGAGTAGAAGGTACAGATATGTGTTAAAATGTAGTGAGTAAAAGTAAACAGTTGCCAGAAAAATACTCAAGTACAGATACCCGAAAAGCTACAGTAAGGAAATCTTTGTACTTGGTTATTTCCCCACCTCTAATTAATATTAACAAGCATCACATTGTGACTCTGCAGGGATAGCCAGTCGGACTCTGCGTGTGGTTGGTGCCACCTCTGACCACCCCCTCACTTCCGCCCATGTTCCAGGAACTGAACAAACCACTCCGGAACACCGCGATGACAATTCTCAGTCTCTTCCAACATTTACAGGAAACCACTCAAAGGTGATCAGGTAACCTGATCACTGATTGTAGCCTCACACACAATAACAGGAAAACTTCTAACCACATAATTGACTCTTAGGTTAGCATCACCGGTAGAGCCTGTTGCCATAGTTACCCGCAAGTTAGCACAGGTCAAGCTCTGAGTTACAACAAAAGTTAAACTAGTACAGTTTACACCTGGTCAGGTGCGTCACACTCACCGTGACAGTGCGGCTCCTCGTGGCAGTGTCTCTGTCCACCATGACTGTACTCGTGACCATCATGACTGTGTCCATGTCCACCATGACTGTGCTCGTGACCATCATGACTGTGCCCGTGTCCTCCATGACTGTGTCCGTGTCCACCATGTTCACTGGGACTGTGCCAGTCTGCGTGTTTGCTCTGGTGGTCGTGATTGTGGCCGTGACTCACGCTGCCATTAAACAGAGAGTGGCTGTGACCGTGACCTGGGGACGGAGAGGGACGGGTATTAGAGAACTAATGGACTGAAGTCAGGTTCTGTAGAGCTGCTGGGAGGTTTCACCGAGCCGAGCACTGCAGGTAGTACCTCCCTCTCCATGTGAGTGTCCATGGCCTCCATGCTGGAACACAAAGATCCCAACCAGGTTTACCAGCAGCCCGGCAACAGAGACAGGAAGCAGCCGGTCATGATGAACGTCAGGAGGCTCCAGGGCTCTCTGACAGAGAGAGAGAGAGACGGGTACAACGGTGGAAGAAGTGCTCAGATCCCTTACTTAATCAAAAGTAGCAATACAATGGTGTAAAAATACTCTGTTACAAGGCACATTTCACATTCCTGTATATCATATTATTGCATCACAAAGACTGATGCATTACTGTGTATGTCACATTTAATGTTGCAGCTGGTAAAGAGGGAGCTAATTTTAACTGGCTTATATGCTTTTAACTTAAAATACTGCTGGGCAGCTTATTCCCACCAGGGATCAATGTAGTTTTATAATCATACTGTATTAATCTGGATATGAAAAGTAACTAAAGTTATAAAACTGATGTAGTGGAGTAAAAAGTACAATAATTGCCTCTAAAATGTAGTGAAGTCAAAGTATGAAGTAGCAGAAAAAACACTCAAGTAAAGTACAGATACCTTAAAACTGTACCACCTCCACCTTAAAACTGTATCCATCTCTGGACAGATTCATGCAGACAACTGTACTAGGCTGTTTCCATTTGCAGTGTGTGCGTTACCTCGACTCCTTCAGAGAAGATGAAGAAGGCTGTGAAGATGAGGAAGAGGCCATTGACGAAGCCTGCCAGCACCTCTGCTCTCACATAACTGAAAGAGACAGGAAACAGGCTGAAACACACTGTGGCCTTTAACAAACACCACAGAGCCCAGATCAGTCAGATGAGTCAGGCCTGAGCAGCAGAGCACAGCTCACCCGTAGGAGAAGCTGTCGTTGGCTCTCCACCTGGAGATGACGGAGGCTGCCAGACCTGCCAGCAGGGCGGTGCAGTCAAAGAACATGTGGAAGGAGTCTGAGATCAGACCTAAACTGGAGACACAACACAAGGAAGGTTTTTTGTGTTGTTTCAATGCAAACAAAAGATAGAAACATGAGATTCCCAAAGACTTGGTGACTGCAACAGTTTTCTTGGAGAAGTGGTGCGTTATCTGACAGAAAGGTAGGGGCGCCAATATTTTTGGCCATGATTGTATATAATGATCAACCCTGCCAATAGGTAAAGAGCAGAGCTGCCATTTTAATCCAGTGGAACTTCAAATAATGTGACATTACTGCACATTTATTTTTAAAATCGCAACAGCAGCGAAAGCCCAATTTGGCGAAAAAGATCAGTATGCTAACACCGTTACATTTCACTCAGCACAGTCCACTCTATTCATTTGTTTAGCAGCCTGGATTTCTGTAACGGATGGTGCTGAAATTCTTCTGTTTGTTGCATTAATTAAAGATATTTTTTCAGCTGTAGGCTGATGGGGACAAACTGCTGGTGGCAGCAGGAGATGACATCAACCAGGTAAGACAATGTTTAACATTTAAAGATCTTGCTCAATGCATTTAAAAGCACAGCCTATTTAAACATGTAGTGAATGTAAACGGTTACTGAACTGCTGCTAAAAAGATTTCAGGCATATTCATAAACTACCTCTAAAGTGCAGTTAGTCCAGTTTTCTGCACTACAGTCATTCTCATGTAGAAGTATTAACACAATCCCCAAAATGATCAATAACTGTTATAGGAATATTAAAACACCAGAACGGATCATTCACACATCAGTGTCACGTGGCCAAAGCTTCAGTGAGTTTTCTTTTTAATATTATTGTTATGTAGAGTGCTCACGGTGTTGTACAGCAGCTGTGTCAGAGGAAAGGACAGCTGTCTTCATGTCCACACAGTCATTGTTAGATGGATAAACGGCCCGCGCAGGTTTTATTCTGCGATAAGGATGAATCCTCGCTAATGGGCTGCTGGCATTTAAACAAGAGATCACCATCTTTACACTAAAGTCACTTTCGGCTTTTCCCGTTTAGGGGTTGCCACAGTGAATCATCACACTGACGACTTGCATGTTGACATTTGGCACGTGTTTTACGCCAGATGCCCTTCCTGACGCAACCCTGATTTGAACCCGGGGCGCCGCAGCGAGAGCGCTGCGCCTTAACCACTAGCCTACCAGGGATGGAGCATCACTGATGATCATAAAAGTGAGCACATTATTAAAGACAGGCCTTGGGTAACAAACTACCAGGCTACTTTCTAATCAAGATTTTTTTCCTCCTCCTGAGGTAAACTTCTGAAAATGTTATCTTTGCTTTGATATGGACTGTATGAGGAAATAAAGTGGCTGTCAGAGCATCTGCAGACTCTGTAGAAGGGATGAGAGACAGGAAGTCTGGGTTTGTTGAAGGAAACCTGCAGAAATCAGTTACCATGGTAACAGACTCAGCGCAAGTGATCTCCATATCTGGAACTGAAAATCCGGAGTCTCCCTCATTTCACCGTGAACTAACTCCAGGTTTTCACTTACGCCTGCTTTCTGGAACAACCCCTGGAACCAGTGAGTGTCCATCACTTCCAGCGTTCACTGGGCTAAAATTTAAAGAACAACAGCATGTTTAAAACTCCACTGCAGTGGAAATGCAAATAAATATTAAATCTTAACACCCAACCCCTGATGCCACAGGGTGTGGGTGTACTAATCCTCCTGCTGGTTCTCAGGTTCCCTACTGGTTTTACTGACTGTAGCTAGTCACACCTGAGATCCCAGGAGGTTAGACTGTAGGTCAGCACATTTTCTATCAGTGCTTATAATGTCTAGTTTCCCTGACTCTCCAAGTCTCTGAACTCTCCTGGAGGGATGAACACCATTTTTCCAGCAGACATTCCTTCATGTGATGTTTTGATGATGTAGGGAGACGCCGTCTAACACGTCACTCCAACATCTCCCATAGCTGTTCAACTGGGCTGAGACCTGGTGACTGGGAAGGCCACAGCATCTGGTTCACACCATGGTCATCTTCATCAGACCAGTCAGTGAGCCCTTGTGTTCTGAAGACAGGTGGACCCGTCACCCTGGAGGAGACTGCTGAGTGATTCAGGGCTTTAATTTGTCACCATCTGTATAGCAACGCAAACACTGCAAATCCTCCTCCCTATCCCACAAACTGAAACACTACCTTAAAGGACCAAGTACTAATAGTAAGAGAGATGAATGCAAAAACTGGCACATAATATCTGATATCAGTTCATCATCTGCTGTGGCACTGTGTCCATATAAACATGGCAGCTAAATCATTACAAATATGCTCTACCCCTTCTGTGTCTGTGATCTGAACACAATCATGTCCAAAACCCACCCAACTGTGAGGAGTGGGAGCCTGCAACACAAGTCATACACACCAAGTCACCAACAAACCTCTTATCATAAACAAAGCACCTGATGTAATGTGGTTTAGTCTCTGACACACAAACACAACATGGTAAATACTGCACACTCTGCAGCAGATACACAAGGAAGAGTGGTGACTGAACATGTGGTCACAGCTGCAATCATTGGTCCATTAATTGATTAGTCAACATAAATCTGATACTCTTCAATGATGCATCAGTAACTATAATCCAATAATATCTGCATCAGTGTGAAATGTGCCATTGCGCTCAGCGACTACTTTGGAACAGCAAGTATATTTTGATGCCAATACTTTTACTTCAGTAACATTTTGAATGCTGGACTTTTACATGTAACAAAATATGTATATTTTGTAGTATTTCGACTTTTACTTAAATAACGGATGTGAGTACTACTTCCGCCACTGTCGAAACTCGCTGGATTAGTAATGGTAGTACTGGTGTCAGTAGCTGAGAACATGAACCTCGGAACAGATCCGCGTTTAACCAGTGCATCCCAGTTAAGTGGCATACCACTGTAAACCCTGCAGTTTCCCACCTGTAGCCGGTGTCCGGACCAGGTGTGGGCCAAACTGAGGGTGTCTTTGGGTTTAATGAAGCTGGACTCGGGCACTCCGAGCCCCCCCATGCTAACACTAACACATACGTGGCACATCCTGCACACCAAAACACCGGCGGATGCTAACACCGTCAGCTTACCTGTTACTCCAGATCCCGTACATGAGCTCCACGAAGGCGAAGGAAAGGTTCAGACAGAGGAAGAAGAACAGGTTCCTTGAGGTTTTATCGGCAAGGATCGACCTGAAACACCCAGAAAATCTCCATTACAGTCTGAACCGGAGCCAGCAAGCCGGGAGCAACCCGGCTAATCAACACCTGGTGGTCACAGTCTCACACAACGCACCGTCCGACACACATGCCAACAAACGAGAGGCTGAGAAAACAGTTTAATGCAGAGTGAGTTCACTGCGGGCTGCTTTGTTTAGGCTAGCCGCTTAGCAACAGGCTAGTGGCTTCTCCATAGTGTCAGTTGCTTCACGGCTAGCTAAGTTAGCACCTGTTAGCTCCAAAAGCAGCGGGGGGTTTACCTGAACCATCCCGAGATCTTCACCAGCAGGTTAAACTTGGCGGGTTTGTACTCGTCGTCTTTAATTGATAAAGGTAACATTGTCACACTCGAACACACACTCACAAGTATTTTGACTACGGAATGCTAACTGCCAACTTCCGCTCCGGTCAGATTTCACAATAAAGGCGTTTAAAAGCGATGCAATGACTGACTGTGATCCCAATGACATCCCAGTTCCCAAGAAACCCTCCTACAGGGAACTGAATGACCAACCCCTAACCCTACAGACCTGTCGCTCTGACATCTGTAGTCATGAAGTGTTTTGAGAGTTTGGTATTGGTCCACCTGAATGAATCACAGACCCCCATCTGGACCCCCTGCAGTGTGCCTATGGAGCAAACAGGTCGGTGGACGATGCAGTCAACATGGTACTGCATTACATCCTGCAACATCTTGACTCACCGGGGACCTGTGCTTGGATCCTATTTGTGGACTTCAGTTCGGCATTTAACACCATCATCCCAGACATCCTCCACTCCAAACTGACCCAGCTCACTGTGCCTGCCCCCACCTGTCAGTGGATTACTAGCTTTCTGATGGTTAGGAAGCAGCAGGTGAGACGGGAAAACCACATCCAGCACCCGGACAATCAGCACAGATGACCCCAGGGATGTGTGCCGACCCCAGGGATGTGTGCCCTCCCCACTGCTGTTCTCCCTCTATACCAACGACTGCACCTCAGGAGATCCCTCTGTAAGATTCCTGAGGTTTGCAGATGATCCCTCAATCATCAGCGTTATTCAAGATGGTGACGAGTCGGCCTACAGACAGGAGGTTAAACAGCTGGCCCTGTGGTGTGGTCATAACAACCTGGATCTGAACACATGGAAGACAGTGGATATGATAGTGGATTTTAGGAGGAGCTTCCCCACCCTATCTCCACACACTATACTCAGCAGTACTGTTTCAGTCATGGAGTCCTACAAATTCATGTGCTCCTCAATCTCTCGGGACTTGAAGTGAACAACCAACATCAGCACCGTCATTAAGAAGGCACAGCAGAAGATCAACTTCCTGCTCCAGGAGCTGCTGATACAGTTCTACAGAGGAATCATCGAGTCTGTTCTCTGCACCTCCATCACTGTCTGGTTTGCCTCAGCAACCAAACAGGACAGGAACAGACTCCAGTGGACAGTCAGGATTGCAGAAAGAACCAGCAGCGCCAGCCTGCCCTCTATGGAGGACCTGTACACCCAACCATGATAAAGGTTAGTACTGAACTCAGTCCCTACCCCCACACTCTCAGGGAGCAGTCTAATATCCTGTGGTTATAGTGACTTTGGTACAAACTGTTTCCAGCAGCTACAGCTGTGAAGGTCAGGTCAGATGAAGAACTGACGTTTGAAATGTAAAAATGAAATAATTCTGTCTAATGAGTTTCCATGCAGCTGAGCAGTTGAGTCAACTTAATATTGTTAGATTTTCAAAACTCACAAAACAACACTGAACTAAGCTGACTTTACTGATGGTTGCTTACATTTTCAAGGCAGCAGGGGAACCTGCGTTTCTAAGTTGAACCAGCTTGAAATGGTTTACAGTGGAGAAGCAAATCAAACTTTATTCTCACAGCCAAACAAATCAGAAGATGAAGCAGGATATGAATTAATTTAGATGTGATTTGATTTTGGTATTTACAGCAGTCAGAGCTGGTACCCAGCAGTTTCTCAGTAGCTGACTCTAGTTGTCTGTTAGATTTCAACATAAAAGTTGCACTGTGAAAATGTGTTTCCGTGTTGTGCTGCAGAGGTGAGTCTGGTCAGTAGAGGGAGGCAGAGCTCTGCCTGTGCAGTCAGTAAACCGGCCAGTAAGACGGTCTCTCTGTGGAACCTCAGTTTGATACTGACGGGTCAGGGTGAAGGACAGTGAGCTGAAACATGTTCTGTGCAGCTAGTCACATATAAAGATCAGACAATAACTGGACTTGTGAAAAGGTTTGAACAGTGATATGAACCCAGTAATAACTCCTGTTTCTCTGTGGACTGGCTCCTGCTGCCATTTAAATCCCTTCCTTGGATTTTAAGGTGGATCAGACTTTTTCCTTCTGCTTCATTTTATCAGCTTAGCGAAGATAAAGTCAAAAATGTTTGTGCTGATTTGATGGAAACATCCCAACACCAACACATCGGCCTGTATCAGTCCACAGCCACAGAGCCCCCACCACCAGCAGCAGAATGAGCAGTGAGCAGTTCCTGTGTGCGGTGTCCTCACGTACACAAAACTGCCACTGGATCCCTATGAGGCTGAAGGAAACCTAAACACAGGAGGATTCTCAGGCAGGTTCTGCAGCCTCTCCTCTTCTGGTTTCTCACTGGATTTATGGAGGTTTATTCTGGAGGGACATCAGAGATGATGAGATCCTCAGGAAGTGGACGTCACACTGAGTCAGATCAACATGTGTTTCGCGCCTGTGAGTTCACACTTTACTGAGGTGGGACTCTGAGAAGGAGGACCAGTTTTCATTTTAGTTGTTGTCTTGCTGAGTGTTCATGTCTGTTACAGACCAGATTTCATCAGGGTCGAAGAGAATGATGAGTTCAGTTACTGGGGAGCACAGTGCAGCTTTCACCCCCACCTCATCCTGTCATTTAGATTGTGTGTCTGCATGAGGTTTTTGTTCTGTTATGAAACAGGCTCATCTCACTGAACCAGAGATGCAGTCTGTTATGAAATCAGTCAGTGTGTAAATGTTGTGTTTGCACAGTCATGAGAGGAGTTTCCATGGTGACCACAAACCTCAGCAACCTCACTGGGATGGAGACGTTGATGCTCAATCGGCAGCAGCTCCATCCTCCTCCACACTGACCATCCTGTGATTAAACATAAGCTTCTGGTCCGATCAGAGACAGGAAGTGGACACGGTGGACAGACTCAGTCCACCTGAATCCTCCAGGTCTGCCAACTGATTATCAGTCCGCCTCTGTGCGCTGTTCTGTTACTCTGCACCAGACCAAGCCTGGACAGTGATCGGGTTCAGGACCAGAACCAGGACCTGGTTCATGCTTCTTTGAAGCTCTCAGGTGTTTGAGGTCTGTATCAGCTCATCAGTTCAAAAAATGTCTTGTGAAACATTTCTACAAGACTGAGCCGGACAGATCAGAGTCTCCAGCAGAATTTTGTGTGAACTCTTGACTCGGTATATATAGTTCCACGGAAGGATCTGTAAAGATGATTTATGGTGCTCTGAAAATGTCGGCTCCAGTGGGAGCTGCTGCTGCTGACTGAGCCTCTTCAGCTCAGGGCAACAAAAAGCTCCATCTTGTCGTCTCTAAGACAGGAAATACCAGCTGAGCAGGACATTAAAATGACAAGCCACAGCAGAATCCTTGGTCCCCTCTTACACAACAGCACACAGGGGTCACGGAGGCCCAGCAGGACAGTGAAGAGTACACAACTGAAAAACACCAGATGGAGCAGAAAAAACACATTCATCAACATTTTCACTTTTGTTTCAGCTGAATCTGCATCGGCAGCTTTGAGCCACTGTATATCCAGAGCCACGGACTAATCAAGGGTCGGGGGGCTTTGTTCTGTACAGGTCTTTCTAATATTCAGAATAATATCTGCAGAGGAGGGTCAATGTGGATGTGCTGTGTAGCAAGCTTTGGTCAGGGGTCAGCAATACACAACCCCCCCCAGAGACTCATCAACAGAACAGAAGAGCCTGGAGGAGACTGTTTCAAACCATGTCAAACGTCCAGTGGGGTTTGTAAAATGTTAAATATTGGTTTCTTGCTATAAACTAAAGGGCCTTCTGTGAGTGGGGGTCCAGCATTAGGACTAATGAGGACTTATGAGACCCAGACCAGTAGCGGTGGTTGTCAGTGTGAAACAGTGGGATTGGTCTAATTCCTGGCTCACTCGCTCGCTCTCTGTTGGAGCTGTTTTAATGAATTCAGTGTTCTGGTGGTTTTTGTCTTCAACACAAAGCTCATTGGCTCTTCAGCTTGTTGCTGTGGAAACAGGATGGCTTCAGATGTGAGGTGTGAATGTGAATCAGCCCTCGAGTCTTTGCACCGGGTCCAGGTTCGGCTTTTCTTTGTCTGCGGTCTGTGGATCAGGCTCTGCACAAACATGATGCTGCAGCCAAACAGTGTGAAAATCCTCAAACAATTCTGTCTTCAAGAACTTGACTTCACTGAACATTATTTACAGACTTATGTGGCTGACACCAGACATGGCAGCAATACTTAAATCTGGTCGATCAATGATTTAAAGCCACTCACATGTCAGGGTCATCCAAAGTCAAATCCTTGTTCCATCTTTATGTTAACAGTTTAACAAAAGAACTTTTTTCTCATAGTTTCGACCTTGTGAGGCAGGAGCACTGTTGAATCACGACTAACTGTTGTTTACTTTGCTTTCACTGGGGGAATGACTGACATGATCAGAAAATGACCTGTTCCATAGCTGCTTTTCTTCACTTGTTTTGTTTTGTTTTTGTGTGTGTGTGTGTGTGTGTATTCGTGTTTGTCATTTTCTATTTACATTTGTGAAAGCACTAGAAAATACAGCTGTTACACCACTTAGGCATTTAACATTTTGACATTAGCTGCGGTCACATCTCACCAGAAGGTGTTGACTTTGTTCTGACAGATACACACAATGGCAGCAGGAGATTAACTCGATGTTAAAGATGTTAACACTAGATTTAAAAGGGGTTTCCAACATCTGTGTGAACTCGAAACCCTTTGAGCCCGATGTGCTGATTTTTTTTTTCCTCTCAGATTGTGTCATACAAAAAACTTTCAGAGGCCTGAAAAGGTCAAACTTGACAGTATTAAGAAAAAAGACAAAACAGAATGTAGTAGAATTCTGTTCCTGCTCCATGGGCCATCTCGAGAGCCTCTGTGGGGGTCCTGCCCCCCCAGGCTGGATCCACTGCTCATAAGTGAGAACCTGATCATGCAGGGGACTGTAAATGGTTAATGGTCTTATACTTGTATAGCGCCTTTCTATGCTTTTACAGCACTTTCACATTATTCTGCCATTCACACTCCCAAGCACTCACGCAATCACACACCAGTGACATCACCGGGAGCAACTGGGGGTTCAGTGTCTTGCTCAAGGACACCTCGACATGTTGACTGGACAAGCCGGGAATCGAACTGCTAATCCTCCGGTTAGGAAACAACCCGCTCTACCTCCTGAGCCACAGCCGCCCCCATAATCCAGCCCCCCACACAGGGACTGTAAATGGTAAATGGTCTTATACTTGTATAGCGACTGTGTGTTCTTCCAACTATAAAAACTATGTTTTGTTTAATTCGTTCGGGGCTGTTTAGGCCTTTTTACAGCCAGAAGAGAGAGACAGCCATTTTAACCCCTTGGCCCCCAGAGAATAGGAAGCTTTAAACACAGCTCAGATTTAATGTGTGCAGAAAAACCTTTGTACATTTGTACTGACATGTGAATGTTCCAGCAGCTTTGACAAATGAGGACGATTCTCTCAGAGCTAAATCTGTCAGTAAAAACCCAGAGAAACAAGCAGAGCCTGTGTTTTAAAGTGTCCTCAGACCTGATGGTCTGAGCAGCAGCATGGGGTCTCCATAGTCACAGTGAGACTTCCAGTAAACTGAGTCTGACAGAAGTGAAAGGGAAAGCCGATCACCCGCTGAATCACAGGAAATCAAATCATGCTCCAACAAGCTCTGGGACAGGAGTGAAGAAATAAAAATCTTTAATAAAAGCACAGCGTGAGGAACTGTACACATATCTGCGTTCAACTCACGTCACCTCCAGCACAAACACTGTAGAGCAACGTGGTGACCCCTGAAGCTGCAGCAGTAGCAGACCGAGGGGCTCCCACATAAAGAAACCTTCTGCTTTTGTCTCTTTCCATCAGTGAGACAACGGGTCACGGGTTAAACATAAAGAGCTGAAGCGGTTTTTCAGGCCAAGCAGGTAAAGGGACGGTTCACTGAAAACAAAGATACCTTTCAATGTGCTGCAAAGCGACCGAAAGCTGACAGCACACTGTGGCTTAATATGAAACATTTACCAGAGGCTAGTGTCCAGCAGTGCTCACCTGGCTGGGCTGTGGTACACACATGCACAGGACTGGTAGCCTCATGGTCCCACTTGGTTGTCACATGATGGAAGCTTGTAGCCAAGCATGGGAATGTTATAAAAACAAGTTGGCATGTGGTAGGGCTGTACCAGAACACTAGTCACACATTCACTTGTTGTATCAAACAATGTTATACATATCATTTGGATATGTAATCACATATCTAAGAGGCAGTAGTCATGTAGTAGTCCCATGCTAGGAGACGCAGCCACAGACTGAGGACATGGTAGGATACAGGAGGCTTGGAACATCCTACATCCTCGGTCGACCAGAGGACTTCCGGGTTGACCATGGACATAGGAGCGATCTTTAAGACACACAAGATGTACCTTTTTGAGTCACATGTTGAGGTATTAAAGTCACACGCTGAAACAGTGGCACCTGTTGGCAGGTAGTATTCACAGCTGGGGATCCTGGCAGGTGGTAATCACATACCAGATGATAGCCACATACTGGAACCTGGCAGATACCAGCCACATGTTGCCACATGTTGTGATGCGGTGTCCACATACTAGGGTGTGGGAGCTGCAGGTTGTCAGGTGATTTCCACATATTGGGATGAATCAGTCAAATGGATTGTAAAAGTCACATTTTGGAAAGTGGTTTCCACATGTTTGGGCATTGTTGGCTGCATCTTTGGCAGATGACAGTCACAGCTTGGTTCTTAGTAGCCACAGAGAAGGTGGAGGTCACATGACGGGATGGAGTAGCAAAGTGTTAAAATGTTTAAACTTGGCAGTCACCTGTTGGCAGATTGTGGTCATATTCTGGGAACTGGTAGCATAATGTAGGCGTGTGGTAGCCGCGCACTGGGAGGGGCTGCCACACACTGGGTTACTAGAAGCTATGGCCACGTATCAGAGCCAAATGTTAGGACAGGTTAGCCATGCTGAGACCTAGTAGCCGCATCTGAGGAATGTAAGCTACACGCTTTTAGATGCTGGTGACGTGTTGGGATCTGGTAGCCACATGTAGGGATAGTGGAGCCACATGATGGAAGTCAGTAGGCGCATTCTGGGAGACAGCAGCCACACTGTAGGGACATGGTAGACGTGTTTAAAACTTGTTAGCCACACGATGAACTCGGCAGCCCAGTGTGAACCTCAGGCTGAGGGTGGAGCAGATTGGGGCAGCTGGTAAAAGCCTTTCTTCCTGGATCTCCTCAGGTAGTCGAGGAGCAGAGCAGCAGTTGCTAGCCCAGCAGCGATGCAGATGGCTGGGATGATGATGCCGCTGAGACCGGGAGGAGGTGTGGTGCTTCTCTCTGCATGAAGAGCGGGAGAGGACGACTTAGAAAGTAACAGGTCTGAAAACTGAAATCAGAGATTTTACTTTTACCATGTTCATTCTCAGACAGACACAGAGTACTGGCCTGAACAGATCTGACTGACCTCTGACACTGATACTGAAGACTTTGACCTGGTATCCAAGGTCATTGGTCACATTGACTTGGTACAGCCCAGAGTCTCTGGCCGTGACGTTGACCAATAGGAAGGTGCCATTGGGGGAATAAAGCTCTGTGCCATTGGTCAGTTTCTTCAGAATCATGGCCGATGGCGGGAAGCTGATGGTTTGGCAGCATACGGTGACATTTTGTCCCACGTGGACCACTGAGGAGGGCAGGACGATCACTGTGGTGTTCCTCGGAGGAGCTGGAGCACAAGATAACAAATGAAAGTTAGAGCTTTGTGCAGAGGATGGTGCTGGTCACATGATTCACACAGGTGTTCTGAGCCATGTGAAACCACTGGATTTAACAGATGCTGGATTAAATCAGCAACCAAGAAAAGCTACAGGAAGTGTGGGAAATTCACTTAAAGGTGATACAGCACAAGCACAGTAGCAGACTTCATTAGCACAGTGTTCATGCAGTTGGACTGACTTCAGTTACCTGCCTTTGTGCCTGATAAACGGAATATGTGTGTGGGAGGTTTGTCTGCTGACTAATCCACAGACCTGCAGGGAGGTCAGATGGAAACTAATGACAAGACACTTAACAGTGGGGTGGAGTTTGTCCGGCGGAGACGGCGGCTGCAGGAAACATCTTCCAGAATCATGTCAGCTGAAGGTTCGATTGAAGGACGTCTTGGTCCACAGCTTTTAAATCACTTCTCAGAACATTAAAACAACTTTTACTGTTCTAATACCTGATGTCTGATTTGACAGATATTAAATTTGCAGTTTGAAGTCACTGTTGTAAATTTTTTTAAACCTTAATCTTGATTTTTCCATGTAAAGCACCTTGAAACTTTATTTGGAAAGGTGCTTTGTGAATACAGTTTATCACCATTATGAGTTGTAATTTGCATTCATTGTATTGTATTGTTTGTTTTTATGCATTCATATTTAGAAGATAAAGCTGTCCCTGACCTGAATAAAAACAAAGTGAAAACAAACCATATTCACATCCTAAACCAAGTCTTCTTGTGACTGCTGAAAATTTGTTTGCTTTATTTGTTCTCATTTGCTCTGTGTGCTTTATTTTTGCTTTTATTTGCTTTATTTTAATGTATATAAGTGTGACACGGGCTGTGAGGTGACCCCAGTAGCCTTAAAGCAGGTGAGAGGGGACAAGCTTATCAGTCTATTGGATGGCTGCCAAGACTGAGCAAGGATGAAGGCCTTGACAGTGAGTGGTGAGTAAAGTTATTTAAAGGGGGAGTTTTTCCCTTTTTTGATGCGTGGAAGGATTCAATCTTCTGAGCTGGACTTGAACTTGAAGGATTCAGCATGACTTGAGTTTGCCATGTGAGGTCTTTTTTGTTTTATAAAACCTATATTGTTGCACTACATGGACTGGAAAGAGATGCTGTACTTTTTACCGCACTGCAGGCACCGAGATTCAAACCTTCAACCTTACGGTTGGGAGACGACTGCTCTACCAATCGCACCACTGTCGTAACTTTAGTTATTATTTACTTTGCAGATTCATATTAATATTGCAATATGCATATGTCAAGATAACTACTACAGACAACTACTCAGCAGTATATAAAGTAAGTAACATTAGTGCCACCTAGGAAATGAGCTGTGAAGTAAGTTTGCAAAGGTTTGGAGGCAGCTGATCGATCAAAGTCTGAACTGTGCAGATACTGTGCTGGTGCAAGTTCCTGCAATGAGACACTAGCAGCAGCAGCCAGCCTTTCTCTGGCTCCTAAAGACAAACAAGTCCTGTGTCTAAGATAGGACCCCAACTTCAGTCTAAGTTTCTTTACAAGATTTTCAACATGTTGCTTAATAGAGACATGTTCACATTCTGCTGTTTGATCCCAGAGCTGAATTATCAGCAGCATGAGAGCTGGCCTCGGTTCAGTTTGTCATAATCGGCCTGTGAAGTGTCTGGCACATTACTGAGCAGACGAGTCAGAATTTATTTCTGTCCACAACAGCTCTCAGCTTTGTGTGAGGGAGGGAGATGCTGAGCACTCCGATAACAGCCCTCAGGACAGACGGAGGCCAATGAAACAAAAAGCAGCAGCAGAAGAAGAATCTGGAGGCTGAACAGAGGAAGAGAAAGGCTGCGAAGAGCTGGAAAAAAAGGTTTGCCATCAGAAACTGTGCAGAGTGGAGCCCCACAAAGCCCTGAACTGGGCCCAGAGGAAAAGCCTCCCCTAGTCTGAGGTTAAACAGATACTTTAGTGTTGTCATTACATCATAAAAACACAACAAAACTTTGTCTGCTTCGATCGAAAAAACAGATTGCTAATTGTTGGAATTTTAGAATTTTAGCTATTTATGAGTGGAATTTTATTTAGATTTATTTATTTATCTGGTATGGTCTACTATACTAGACAGCTGCTAACTGGGAGTGGATGCCAGACAAAGGTTTGTTATGTTTTTATGATGCAGTGACAACAATAAAGTATATATCTCTCTAAATCTCTTCGAGCGATGCTGAAATCCAGACAGGAGAAAAGAGGAGCTGATACAGCTTCACTGATCTGAGTCAGGTTGACTATACCCGCAGCATTGAGGTTATCGATCAACACTGAGAAAGGATCAGACTTTCTTTGCCCTGGGTTTTGCCTCTCAGGCAACAGTCTGACCCTCTGAGAGGTCAAGGCTTTACCTGCAGCCTGACAAGAGACCTGCAGAAAAAATTACAGCCAATGTCTTTGCAGGTTTTGGGGTTAAATCTTTATTTTATTTGCAGTCAAAATTCCCCTACAAATCTCAAACAAATAGTAAATATTATACTATTTAATTTCTTTTCAAAGTTGTTTTCTTTGACATGCGTCCTCTTTTTTAAATGTACTGATTATATGTCTGCTCTCTTCTTTTTTTATTTTGTCAGGCACAATGAGCTGCAGGTTCCATATAAATAGTTTATTTTTATTTTCCATGTTGCTAGAGCTAGCCTGCGCAGCCCAGGCTTAACACACCCTGGTACCTGACCTAGCCTGCTGCATGACTCGAAAGGAGCCAGGTGAGGTGGTTTGGATATCTTATCAGGACACCTTCAGGGCCCCTCGCTTTGGATGTTTTCTGGGAACGTCCAACTGGTAGGAGGCCCTGGGACAGACCTAGAACATGCTGGAGAGATTATATATCTCATCTGGCCTGGGAACACCTTGGAATCCTGCCAGAGGAGCTGTAACATGTCGCCGGGGAGAAGGACATCTGGACTACCCCACTGAACCTTCTGCCACCGCAACCCGACCCCGGACAAGCGGAGGATAGTGGATGGATGGACTATTATTATTTGTCTGTAGGTTTAATCTGACATTAAAAATGGTCATTAATTATAATAAAATAAAAACAGAACCGGTTCACGTGGAGAAAATCAAATTGAATCCAGTACCTCTGACAATGATGGAGCTGGTCACTAGCTGGGATCCGTACTGGTTGGAAGCTTCACACTGGTACTGGCCAGAGTCTTCCAGCTGGGTAGAGGAGAGGCTGAAGGAGAGAGAGGGGGAGGCAGGATCAGTCTTCTGAAGCTCCATCCCCTCCCTCCTCAGCACTAGTGTGGTGGGTGGAGCTCCCTCTGAACAGCAGATGAATGTCACCTGCTGACCCTCCACCACCTCCTCACCTGGACTCACTGAGAGGGTAGTTCTCCTTGGAGGGTCTGGAGCACAAACAAACCAGGACTGGGATTAAACCTGGATCTGAGTAAATCTGATTTTAACATGAGTTGAATCTGCTGCAGGACCTCCACTTCTTTAGTTCTTTATGACTCTGGTGGCGGTCTGGAGTCAGGCTGCAGGATGAATCTGGGACCGATCAGACACCTCCTGATGATGGAGAATAAGCTAAACGTCTAACACTTTAGCTCAGTGCTATGCACACAGAACAGGAGAGGTCTGAGTCCACCTCGACAGGACGAAGGGCCGTATGTGCAGATGAGGGAGACATTAGTACAACCACATGGATTCTGATTCAAGGTCGGAGAGGGATCGGATCTGGGGACACATATGCAGGTGGCTCAAATCTGGATGTAGCTGTGCTGTGACAGAGTCAAAACTGGGATTTTGTAGTTTTCCATAAGATTCTGATCTGAACTCAGCAAAACAGGTCTGCAAGAAAACAATATGGGCTACAGACTCTCAGTGGAAACTGCAAACTGGATGACAGATCAGCAGACTGTGTCGACTGATGTGTTTAGTGGAAGAAGCCAGGACTCTGTACTCAGTGGACTGTCCTGCTGCAGTAAAGTCAACCAACTGGCCTAAGCTTGTCAACACATTGAGCTGTTAAAAACAAATGCATCACATGACTATTGTAACACTTCCTGTGGGTCTTTCATGGTAAAAGTCCTCAGACACTCACAGTGGACCAGCAGAGCGACGCTGGCCCTCTTGGACATCCACACGTCTCCGTCCTCTGTCAGCAGCTGGCCTCTGCAGGTAAGAACCTGCTGGTCCTCCTGGACCTGGTGCTGAAGATCAGACGAGATGTTTTGTAAAGAACTGGAGAACCCAAAGACCTCTGACGCTATAGTCGTGTTGCCCAACAGCCACTCAATCCTCAGCTGATTGGCCGAAAAGACATTGGTGACAAAACAGCGAAGGACCGCCACCTGACCCAGCAGGATTGGGCCAGGATCTTCCAGAACCGGATCAGATGGAAACGCTGGAGAGAAGAAAAACAACAGAACAGGTTTGTGTCTGTTTGCCCCACAACCCTGCAGGTGTGACCTGGCTCCGACTCTGCTGAAACTGAAGCGCACAAAGCTCCATTCCCCAAGGAAATGATGTGGAGCCTGTTCTTGTTCCCAGGTGTAAAGAAAAGAAAAGGAAACCATTTGCTTATGACTTTATGATCAACTGCATGTGTTATTTATTATTTGAATGTTATTGGTTTGTTGTTGTTTGTATTGTTGTTCTTAGTCTGTTTTTGTTATCAGGAGGAAAAAGAAAAAAGTGACTGGTTTTTGTCCCCTCTCAGCCACAGTATAAGGTTGGTCTCAGGTGTGTCAGACTCACAGTAGACGTGGACCTGGGTGTTTCTGGTCCTGACAACGGAGTCACACTCAGCCTCACAGCTGTACCTCCCCTGATCCTGGAGGCCCAGGTCCTGCAGGTGCAGTAGGGACCGTCCATCCTGCTGCTGCGTCCTCCGGAGGATGTTCTGGTCCTTCCTGGTCCAGGTGAGGGTGGGAGGGTGGAGACACCCAGAGGCTGTGCAGGTCAGGATCAGACCTGAACCTGCTGCTGCTGAGACCTGAGGACTCACCTCCACCTGCAGAGGGTGAGCTGGAAGAATGACAGAACATAGTGAAATCATGGGACACAAACTAAGCACTGTACTTAAGTACATTTTGATGTATTTGTACTTTGAGTACTTCCATCTCCTGCTACTTCATACTGTGACTCCATGTCAGAGACCAACCGTGTACTTTTTACTGCACTACATGTACCTGATAACTTCAGTTCCTTTCCAGATCCAGATGAATCAAACCAAACCTAGTAGAACCATGAGACTCTATTGATCCCGGTGGAAAATCCACCAGCTACCCAGCAGGATGTAAAGTACTTCACAGTATAAGTATATAAGGTAGTTACCATCAGCTCCACCTTTACCAGCTGCAGCATTAGAGTGATGGGCACAGTAATGTATCAGTCACTATGATCCAGTAGTATCAGAGGCCAATTGCAACACTTTAAATCAGCTCTACAAGAAACCGGCAGCCAGTGTAAAATGTGCTCAGTTCTCTGAGTTTCAGTTAAAACTCTGCTGCAGCATTCTGTACAAGCTCTAGTTGTTTAACACTCTTTTGATGAAGACCTGGCAAAGTCTTCTGCTGACACGATGCCCCTGAGTCGGGATATTTGCTTCAAATAGTAGGCTGAGTTAGTTATGCCTTGAACTCCTAAAGTCAAGAGCAGTGTCTACTTGCACACCAAGTTTTCTGACCAGAGGTTTTGTTTTGATACATCTGGATTTAAGTTGAGCAATAACCTCCATTCTTTCATTTTTTCTTGCAAGAAACAATGACCTCTGTCTTGTTCTTTTTTATGTAACTGGAGAAAGTTTATTTTCCTACAAGTATTTATTTGGACTAAGCACTGAAGGAGTGTGTCCACACCACAGGGCTTCCTTTGACTGTGAAGTCTCTAAATTCACTAAAGCTCAGGAGCTTCCATTAAGAATGCAACTGAAACATAAAGTAAATAAGAACAAAACTGAAACTATTCATTCTCTGAGAGTAACATTAAAGCTCAAACTCCTAAAAAAACTGAACTGGAACTGAAATCTAACACCCCCACAGAACCTAAACTAAACATGTTGAAGTCCTGAAAATAAAAGTTGACTGTAAATCAGGGGTTTTCAAATGACTGTGACCCAGGGACCACCATTGTGACTAAGGGCAGAGCCACACTAGGCCGACCTCTGTGTGGCCTCATGTTGGTTTCGTCTGGGCCAGTCGGGTTGAAACGGTGACACTTGAACACAGCACGACAGCCAACAGCCGACTACATTCTGCGCCTGCGTGACAGTAATAACTCCCCCTACCAGCAGGTGGCGGTGTCTGTATTCGCCATTCAGAAAGGGAAAGAAGAAGAGCTAGAATGGAAGTAAAAGCTTTAAACAAAGCTGCTCTCATTCAACACAGCTGCTGTTTACAGCTGTTTCTAATGGAGAATACGTCTGATAAGAAGCTGCAACTGATGCTGCCGTTCTCCGCCCTTGGTCTTTGGGTTGTGGAAGAAGAGAGGAGGTCGTGGAGGAAAAAAACAAGGGGAAACTGCACTAAATGGGTGAAATCATTGACACTAAGAGGCTTAACCGACTGCGCTCTTCATGTGCACTGATTGGCTAAGCTCAGCAGCCAATCAGACTGGACTCTCTCTCACTGACGAGGCCTGACCACCGATGCTGATTTCCACAAGTGGAATTGGCCAAAAAGCCACCTACGGAGGCTGACTAGTGCCAGTGGTGTGGGCCACACTAGGGAGATGAGCCCCGGCAAATGCTCACAGACACAGCCGACTGTTGGTTTGGTGCGTCTCTGCCCTAAGACGTAACCCGAGGACCACTGTTGTGAGGTCAGTAGACCAGATAGGCACTAGTTTATCCCGAAAGTAATCTGGGCTTCACTAAATTGTATATGTTTGCATGGATTTGGGTATTCACCAACAATATGTAGGGACTAATATGTGGAAATGTTTAAAAAAAAACAAAAAACAGCAAACTGATATTGATTACATGGTCAGGGACCACTGGCAATGCCTTCACAGACCACCAGTGGACGACGGACCACTGGTTGAAAACCCATGGTGTAAATGTTTCTGAAAATGAGCAGAAATAAATACCTCTGACAATGACGGAGCTGGTCACCAGCTGGGATCCATACTGGTTGGAGGCTTCACACTGATACTGGGCAGAGTCTTCCAGCTGGGCAGGGGAGAGGCTGAAGGACAGTGAGGAGGAGGAGGAGGTGGATGAGATGGGGTCAGTCCTCTGAAGCTCCATCCCCTCCCTCCTCAGCACCAGCCTGGTGGGTGAAGCTCCATCTGAGTGGCAGATAAATGTCACCTGCTGACCCTCCAACACCTCCTCACCTGGACTCACTGAGAGGGAGGTGTTACTGGGCGGACCTAGAGAGGACAGACAGGTGCGTCAGAGACATGCTTCCTCTTGTCCTGAGAAACATCCATTAAGGAGACAAACAGCTCACTAGGGCCATGGCAGGAAAAGTGTGAAGATTCATGGTAGAGGTGTAGAGGGAGGGTGGGAGTGGGGGGTGGGGGTGGGGGGTAGTCCTGCTCCTGAACCTCCGATACAAATCTTCTTACACCGTGGAGACAACTCAGCTTCACTCTTACCGTAAACTGTGATGTCCACAACAGCGGTCTGGTTTCCTTCTGTGTTTCGGGCCTCGCACTCATATGGTCCAGCCTCAGACAGACTCACAGCCGTGAAGACAAGCTGGTGTCCAAGACCTCGCTGCACAGACAGACCATCTGCTGCCTTGAAGTTCCAGCTGATGGTGGGCTCGGGGTTTCCCTCCACTGAACAGGTGAGAATGAGCGGAGAGCCAACCAGGACCGAAACAGAGTCTGAGATCGATGTGACCACAGGAGCATCTGCAGAGGAAAGGACCAGGGTTCAGGGCCTCAAAGACTGAACAGGTTTAAACCGGATCCTGACAGTCTGACCCAGATCCTCAAAGTCTGAACATAGTATTACACCAGGTTGAGACTAATAGGACTCATGCAGCAGGACTCAGACATCAAGACTCAGATTCAGACAGCAAGAGCCAGACTCATACCGCAGGACTCGGACTCACAGAGCAGGTTTAGTCGAACGGTGGTCTCTTTGGTCCTGTCCTCAGCTGGCAGGTCCTGCAGGCCCAGAGTGGTTCTGCAGCTGATGTTTCCTCCTGAGTCCTGGGCCAGAGGAGTGAACCTGTATTCAGACCAGACTGAGCTGTGTCCATGCTCTCCCATAATGCTC